TTCCGAAACAATTTCTGTGACGTTATGCATGCTGGTAGATTCTACTAAGCTCTATTTAATTTCTTAATCGGTATAGACCATGGTTGTATAGGATGAACGCTACTTGCCTATAATATGCTGAAATCAATATCGGCAGGAGAAAGATCGTGGTCATTCCACACATCGATGGTTTATCGCACAGGTCTTATAATTGGGGCATGTAAGCCCATGGAGTTTCCTAAAATTAATTAGAAAGGACTCAGGCGCTGCGGTCATTCAGCGACCATCGAAATGATGGGTAGTAGTACACGAATTCGCTTACTCTTCATACTTGCGGGTGGCGAATCGTACTCGTGTCTTCATTTATTGCGCTGTTTCGGTTTTGTTTCGAACAAAAGGACAAACCACTTTGGACATAGTGAACCGATTTCGAATGGTAAGCTTAAGGTTGTGTAGCGCAACTGCTGAACATTGGCCGATTGTTGTTTCGCGGCAAAGCAGCTTGAGAAGGCACGCGAAGCCAGAAGTAACGTAAAGTACAAAGGTTGGACAAATCCATGTACTATATACCATAATTTCCATGCTCGCTGAATCGCCATGTGTTGCAGCTCCCATAGACTCTAGCGCCGGAGTTCGCTCTAATGTATATATAAAAAACTCTGTCAGCACAAATGTTGCGCAGATTTGGGAAGCAGTGGAGCTGGTGGCCCCCTTCTCCTCTCTCCCTTTCCCACCCCACGCTGTACTATACCATAGTATGATGTAGTTTACATCTATATGGCTATGCTGTGTTCTACTCTGCTCTTTTCCTCCTAAGCCTCACATCACTTGTCACCCTCACTTCCCTTTTGTCCGCCTCGGTGGATCAGTGGCAAGGGTATACTCGGCTGCGACCCGTTCGATGGAAATAGAGGCCCGAGTACTGTGCGATGTCAGTGCATGACCACCTGGTGCAGTGAACACCAGATTGTCGAAGTTTCAGGAGCCCTCCGGTAGGCCGTCTCTCTTAATCAAATGGTGGTTTCGGGACGTCAAACCCCAGATATCATTATTATCGCTTCCCTTTCTCACTTATTTACTATTCTATGCATAGCTATGTTGTGCTATAGGAGCCGCCTAGTACGCAAACGCTTTTTGTGGCAGCAAACCCTACGAGTTTTCTGCCCGCCACACAGACCTTAATTGAGAACAGACATTTCTAAATGAGGTTCAGTAGCATAGTTAGTTCTTTCATCCAAATAAGCATGGACCCATTCAACAAGTTGACTGTATCAAATATTTCGGAATCGTTTAAAAGAAAAAGCTTATCTGGAGCCCACGCATACAGTATATAGCTGCCAAGGCACACCACGGGGTCCAGGCTAACTACGCAAATTATGTAACCGTAAATACGGGTTAGTGAGGTACACATTGATAATGTTGTCCAAAATGTACATGTGCCCAATACTGGAATTCGGATGCATACTTTACTTGGGTGGCCATGTTTACGAAACAAAACATATATGGTTGTCTTGGAGCGAGAAGCACTGAAAATTTGTCTTGGACTCCCCAGGTTTGTGGCTATCAATATACTGTATCAGGAAGCGCGCCTGCCTACACTATCTTTGTCGATTCCGTACTTTGACATTACTAGCATTTTCAAAGTTTTACAGCTTACCGAAAAGAAGATCTCAATGTGCTTTCATCTCAGACCTATACACCTTCTTTCTTGCTCATCGGTTATGCTTTCACACACACCACTTTGTTCAAAAGAAACTACAAAGTATAAATGTGAAAATTAGAAATGTAACTGCGACTAATGACAAGAATTGTAATGTTTTGATTGAATGTGATAATACTTTTCCCTCACAAGCTAAGTTCCAGCCTGTCAGATTCTTAAATAACATAATAGAATACCTGGTTCATGCAGAAACAAAATGTAATAGCCACAGATGCTTCGGTAACTAATCAAAAAACAGGCGTAAGCATTCCCTTTTATTTACTTGGTTGATGCTTCTCAGTCAGGCAGCATGATTCTACTTCAGTTTTTTGAAGCTGCAGCTCGTGGTGGTTGTTTTAGCACTTCGAAAACTTCCGTCAAGTTAAAATAGCGCAGTCATAATTACAGATTTCCTTTCAGTTTATGCAGCTCTGGAAACTTATAGAAAATTTCTAACTCTAATGACATTCCGAACGTTAGTACCGCCGCAGTTGAGGCACCAGAGGTTACTGTCGATTCCTGATCACTGCAGCTTAAGGTTGAACGAACTAGCCAATTTTTCAGCACTAGCAGCGCTTGATGACCCAGTACTATCCGTACTGCCAGAAGTAGAATATATAACCGCAATAAGATGTAGTAAATCAGCAATGTTCACTGATTTGATAGAAACAATACATTATCAGAATATAACCACCTCAAGCTTTCATGGCGACCTCAATTGAGTCAGTCGAAAAAGCACAACTATTTGATTACAAGATTTTGATTCCGTGTGCCCCCTCGAAATGTATATTTGCACAGAGTTGGTCAGGTGATATTACCCCTCTGTTAATTCCGCGGAGAAATCGAAACAATAGAAAATTATTTTTTTCTCTTCTCGCCGATACTCGTTACTTAGAAAAAGGCTTCTAGTTATTATCTTTCTGAGATAGTTGTTAAGTTGACGGCTGAAACTGTACTAAACTTTGGTGCCTCAGTTTTTGGGGCATTATCACAAGGATACTTTTAGTGCGCTTAGATATGCAGGCATCCAAACGTATCCCATTGTAATCCCCAATCTATTAAGGACTATTCTGTCTCATCAAAAAGAAGTGTTTCACATAGATTCTGAATGGTTAGCTGAAGTAGACGCAACAGTGTGATCATCTGAAAATCTGAAAGATTCAAATATCTCAAATTAACTGTTCTATGATTCCGCGCTTTCTCTCTCTCTCTCTCTCTCTCTCTCTCTCTCTGTGTGTGTGCGTGTGCGTGTGTGTGCGTGTGCGTGTGTGTGTGTGTGTGTGCGTGTGTGTGTGTGTGCGTGTGGTTTTTCGTTGCATTATTTATACTTCAATATGAATTCATTCTTAAACATATTTGTAATGCTCACAGAAAAAGTACTCTACGCATTTTGGTCATTCCCCCTGAGTGAGTATGAGCCACTATTTCGATATATATATATATATATATATATATATATATATATATATATATATATATATATATATATATATATCATGGCAGGCGTGCTCGTCCACGATTACAGCTTTTGTATATACCGTTAATGGCGCAGCGCCAAGATTAAAAGCTGCGTCATAAAAAGCGATGGCGCACAACAATTTAGCTTCACGTTATTGCACTATGAATGGTGAAAAATCATTCAGAGCCTTTAAATATTCCAAAGTGGCCGATTGTGCGAATACCGCACCGGTTTCGCTTTGAAACATGGAAAACTGGTGCACCGATAAGCCCGGCTCCCGTTAGAATGTCTTATGTTATCAGCCAAGTACAGGTAACCGCAGCTGATACGAAGAGCTGCCAAAGCTTTGTCGCGGTTATCTATTTCAATTGGCTAAGCACAAACAGTAATACGAGGACATGAATTGTCGTACAAGGCTTGTCATTCAGCAACTCGAGTGGGCATCTCAAGGGTTGGCGGTGTAGCGGAGGCTCCGAATTAGATAACCTTGAGAGATGAAGTCTGTGAAATCCTGCCACGAAATGCATACGCCCACTGACATCATTCAGGACGTAACTGTACTATTACGCGCAAGTAGAAAGTGGATGGTGGGGCAAGTCAGCTTTTTTACTTTTATAGATGCGTTCGCAGAATTGATGTTAGGAAAAATGTGGTTTTAAGTGATAATAAATGTTTAATGAGGAACATTCCCGGAACAACATTTTCATCAAGAGGGCCTGTCTAAGGTAAGGGGAACCCTTGAATTAGCCAAATGCGCAGTCTGATTGATTGATATGTGTGGTTTAACGTCCCAAAACCACCATATAATTATGAAAGACGCCGTAGTGGAGGGCTCCGGAAATTTCGACCACATGGGGTTCTTCAACGTGCACCCAAATCTGAGCACACGGGCCTACAACATTTCCGCCTCCATCGGAAATGCAGCCGCCGCAGCCGGGATTCGATCCCGCGACCTGCGGGTCAGCAGCCGAGTACCTTAGCTACTATAGTACCGCGGCGAGGCAAATAAATGCGTAGTCTGGCTGATCGTTATGCATAAGTAGCCGCGAATACCGCAAGTGGAAGGGACAACTGGGTCTACTGTATTCTTCAGCCTCACTTGCGCTGCGTGAAGGTTTGGACACTGTAACTCATGGCGGAGTCGTTTTCCTGTCCTTTCAAGTACACGAAGCGACTGGCCATAGAGTATCGTAGAACTCTATGCGAAGGGCAACACTGTAGCTAACGCGGTGGCTCAGTGGTTGATGCTTAGCTACCGACCCGAAATACGCGGGTTTCTTTTCGGCCCTGGCGGCCACATTTCGATGCAGGCGAAAATGCTCAATACTTGTGTACTTCGATTCATATGCACGTTATAGAGGACCCTATGTGGTCTAAATAATCCGGATCTATCTACTACAGCTCCTCTCCCTGCCTGAGTTGCTTTGTCAAACCACACAACTTGACCAACGGGCAAGGCGAAAATTAACGTCTGCATGCAGTCGCCCATAAAGTCTTATACGAATCGATTCCTCGTCTTTTATTTTTCTTTATCTACGTTTTATGGCCGACCTGCATTCAGTTCGGTACAGGCGCCATCAGAGCGAGTATTCGCCGCTTTATCGTAACGTATCGCCGCGCTGCTATCACGTCGATCGCGCTCTCTTGGCGCACAGTATACGCGTACACGCATTCTTCGGCGAAGAAGCGTCCAAGCTCCCCCCCCCCCCCCCCTCTCGTCTCTCTTTCTCCTTCCTGTGAAGATGAGCTGTCTGCTTTTCTCGCACCCTTTCTCAGTCCATTCGTCGTCCGGCGTTTCCTTTTTTTTACGTATTACCTCATTGTCTATTCTTTTCCTTTCGTTCATTTTCTCTCCTTTTTTAGGCGCTGCTCGTCTACCGCGGTGCCTGTCGCTTCCCGTCCCGTGCGACCGCTTCGACGCCACTACCTGTTCCAAGGTGCGAGGGCCGCACTCGCCACTCGGGACTCTGACGCCAGGGGCCGGCTCAAGACGGGTTCCAAAGACGCCATGGTTGCGGCTGACTCGGCTCCGGCGATGACGACCGTCACCCTGGACGCGTCTAAGCTCGAACTCGATCAGCAGGCGCAACAGGTAAGCACGCGCGGCAAACCCGTCGCTTTTCACTCGAGGTCGAAGCACGCGCTAGAATTGCCGCAGAACATGTGCCTTTAGTTGACGACAGTACATACATTGCGGAAGCATTACAGAATCAGTGCAGTTATCTTGCCATGGCGGTCTAGTGGTTATGGCACGCGACTGCTGACCCGCAGGCCTCAGGTTCGAATCCTGCGGCAGCGATGGCTGCATTTTTGATGGAGGCGAAATTGCTCGTGATTCGGGTGCACGTTAAAGGCTACCAAATACTCGAAATTTCCGGGGCCCTTCGCTACGGCGTGTCCCATAATCATATAGTGGTTATGGGACGTCAGACTCCAGATAATATTATTAGAATCAGTGCAATTCTTGCCCCGCCGCGGTGGTCTAGTGGCTGAGGTACTCGGCTGCTGACCCGCAGGTCACGGGATCAAATCCCGGCTGTGGCGGCTGCATTTCCGATGGAGGCGGAAACGTTGTAGGCCCGTGCGCTCAGATTTGGGTGCACGTTAAAGAACCCCAGGTGGCCGAAATTTCCGGAGCCCTCCACTACGGCGTCTCTCATAATCATATGGTGGTTTTGGGACGTTAAACCCCACAAACCAATCAATCAGTGCAATTCTTAGCAGAAAACGTGGAAGGCTAAACGTTAAAAAAAAAGAAAAGCCGCGGCCGTGGTACGGCGCTCGCTATGCTCGGCTGCTTGCGCGGAGGTCGAGGGGGCGATCACGTGCTCGACGGCCGCATTTCAATGGTGATGAAGTGCTGACCGCCGGACCTCATGCGGCGACTCCTCGTCCTGGCGCAACACCACAAGTGAATGTAAAAGCACCCGAAGTAGTAAGATTTAAGGCAGACATGAGGACTGTGTTTTATTCGCTTAGTAATTGTCACTAATTTTCACCCATGCATCAGCTCGACATGCGCTCATTGGGTCTCCTCTTTTTGCTCAAAAAGCCAGAGTACAGCGGTAAGATTAAACTAATGAAGTCGTTAAGCAAGAACAGCACCTCGGCAGATGAGTGCTGCCGTTAAACGTGCTATGTGAACGATGAATGATGCTTCGATAAGACAGGGCCTGTGTTATCTGCTCAAAGAAAGCGCAATAATTCATGCTCAATTGTTGCACTACCTCATTTAAGCACGAAGTGGTAGTTATTTTAAAAGCTAGGGGATGATATTGCAAAAAATGGGATCCGTTTTGTAAGAGCAGCATCAAGCTAAACTTTAAACAAATGCGTGGGGTTTTACTGGTGACCGTAGTAAACCGTCATGATTACTGAAAGATAATGAAGCATTACCATAATTTTAGACTTTTTCTTTTACACTTGAATATAGTTTGTAAACGCGGAAGTGCATAGAGGGCTTGTGGTTATATCTACGGCGCACCTAAAACGAGCTCCAGCTAGGAAAGTGCCTGACAGCCTTTCTGGGTCAATTTGCCAGGAGGTAAACTGGAAGGTACAGCCCCCTTCCCCCGGTATTTATAAAGTTTGAACGCCAGTCAAGGGCCAGTAGTTAAAGTCTCATGCTAGGAGTGTTCACGTCTACTCGAAGCCCGTGAATCCCACAGTATAGTCTATAAGAATGGCCCAGCTATATGACCAGAGTATAGAAATATGCGGACGCACTACATGACAACGCGATTAGGGTGCACGTTAAAGAACCCCAGGTGGTCGAAATTTCCGTAGCCCTCCACTACGGTGTCCCATAATCATATGGTGGTTTTGGGATGTCAAACCGCACGTATCAACATGACAACGCGACCAAACAGATGCAGTAGACTGTTGCGTGGAGTGGAGTCGCACTATTAACGCGATGGTGTTAAAGAGTTCGTTTTGCAGTGATTCCGGCGTCGTTGTTGGCACGGGTGTCATTGGTTGTGAGAGAAAAATCGCACGGTCAGTGGTCGAAAAGTAGATAAATATGAAAATGAAATAAATCATGCTGTCAGAGGTAAAGTTCCGGGTCAGAGTGAGGATAGAACACGGGCCGTCTCAACGTGTCACATATTGCGCGGCTGAGCCGTTGAATTTCGCCAGGCGTCGAGATGGGTGAATTGAGCAACGAGTGTGCGTTCTAAAAGCCTACCGATAACAAAGCGCTCAGACATATTTAATCATCTACAGCTGAATTATCGACAAAGAAATCACTTGTTCCCGTGTTGCCCTAAGGACACGTACTGAGCCATTCGCTGATTTCCAAAAAGATTTATGGCGTAGGAGGCACTTCACGACAGTGCTTGCAATGGGCATTCAATATTACTTTGAAATGACCAATGGCACGCCCACAGTTGTTGCTTTCCTAACGGCACGTTTGAAGCATGCACCGAGAACCAAAGGAGGCTAGCAGTTCAGAAGGCTATCCGAAAAAGGCCTGATTACGCTATCGTGATCGGCTCTTGAAGGCGAACTTTAAAAATCATCCATTTTTTGTTTACGTGGTGCTCAATTTCTTGATTAGGTAACTTTACTGATTTTCGAAGCAGTCCAGCTGCGCGAGAAATTCCAATGTAAAGGTTGTAGATGGGTGTGCACAGCGCACGATTGGTAGGTTTATAAATTTGCATCAGGTATATTACTGCTTTTCTACTCACTTTGAACACAAAAACAACTCAATTAAGAAAAAAGAACATGACACTGCCACTTGCGTGCCTATGCGTGCCGTAATTTCAGTGTTACCTATAGCATACCTATAGCATTTTCCGCATACCTATAACATTTTTGCCGAATTTGCTGCTTCGACAGGGCTGTGCGATGACGCACGTTTCGGTAGCAGCAACACGAGCAATAACCGCTGCGTCTGCTTACCGCTCTCGAGATCAGCCGCGGGGGAAGCATAAAGTTGGTACGCGAAACATTAGGGTAGAGCAACCTTGAACAATGAACAGCAACCACGGCGCGCATAAGCGCGCAAGCGGCTATGCCACGGAGCGTGTTTTTTTTCCTATTTTTATTTCGTGGGCATCAGTATTGTTACAAGACGGGACAAACAAGAAATTCTCCATCGAGGCAATGAAGATATCGCATCGCTGGTGGTGTTCGGCCATCTTGACCGTGATCGTGGCTGAAAGATTCCCCGTGTACCTACCGTAGATACATTTATTTCTTTCTTTCCGACATTCTCACTACCGTGAGAGTATCCGACAGAAATAAGTGCATTCACATATGTATACAGCCGCGGCCGCGTCTGTACAGAGCACGCAATAAAGGCGCTTCTTGCTTTGTGGGGCGACACATTGAGTCAGTTTCACGCTCTGACGTTGTCAGCCTGACTAATGGGCCGCGCATGCTGCTGAAACACCACGTCATAGCCCGAAACTGCCTAAAGAAGCCGCTTCGTAAGGCTAAAACCAGTCGCTGGCGTACAGACGTGGCCGCGACTGTACATATGTAAACAGCCCTCTTTCACATACTCTTACGAGTCCTCCTTTCGGATACTCGTACGGAAGTGAGAATATTTGAAAGAAACAGATGTATTGACAGCATGTACATGGGGTATCCTTCAGCCAAGATGGCGGAACACCACCAACGCGAGTGCTATAACAGTCATCGTCTTCATCGCCTCGATGGAGCATTCCATCTTGTTCGTCGCGTTTTGCAGCAGTATTAAGCAGGAAAAAAAGACGCTGATTCGTAGTGGATAGACCGATAAAAACTTTCAAATCAGTTGTTTTGCCAACCTATGTACAACTTTCTCGTAGAAATCTCTTCGCCTGCTTCGATGCTTCAAATGTTAGTTAAGTAAACATAGCTTATTATTCAACAGAAGTGAAAACGAATAGTGTGACTCACCCCATGCAATAATCTCCAAAATGCATTTGGTCATTTCGTCATAAATTGCTCGCGAATATTTTCGAGGTAAGGCTAGAGATAGCTGGAGCACCCTATATAATAGGCTTTACAGCATACAACAAGCCAAGCCACTGTTCACATACCCCAGCCAGGTATAACTTCATCTTCGTACTGTTCAATACTCTAAGGTGTCGGAAGCTATAACAGCCAGTATATATATATATATATATATATAATATATATATATATATATATATATATTATATATATATATATATATATATATATATATATATATATATATATATATATATATATATATATCAATTTTAATAAAGTCTGTTCGGGTTTGAAAGACGTCGTAGGGGATGACATAAGAAATTTCAACCGGCCGAGGCTTTTTAATGTGCGCTTAAGTAAATCTCAGTATATACACCGGCGGCTTTGATAATTTCTCCTCCATCTAGAAGCGGCCGGGATTCGATCCCATGCCCATCTGGTCGGCAGCCGAACACTATAATCACTTGACCACATCGAGGAGTGTGCATTTTAACCTTGCATTTTAACCTTGCATATTAGTATTCAACGAGTAGTTCTGTCTTAATCGACCCTTCTTTACCATGCTCTTTCTGAAAGCAAGTTCAAAATACTCTTTTACATTGTACGTGCCGGTGCTTCACAGTTCAAAATACAGTTGTGTAATGCGTGACGTGTTTATGTGTGTGTACATGTGCGCGTGTGTGAGTGCTTCAGAATTGTGTAGCTCCTGGAAACGCCTGCTGCGTGCTTTAGGGGTTTTTGGGGGGGTTTGTTCGGGGGGGGGGGGGCGGTAGGCATCACTGCTTAGTATGCGTTGTAAAGGGCTAATAAAAGAGCATCAACTAAACCTTGTTCACATGTATAATGCAGGTCATGCAGCAATAACTGATGTGCTGCCGGTATTCAAGTTATAGCTCCGTTGCTAACTAAACATATGTGCAATTGCTCTTGTTTTGTTGACTATTGCTATAAAACTATGTGCGTTTTGTTGATGTCATGAGTTGTTTAATTAAACAGCGGAACTTTTCTTATGAGAGCTTATTTTCGATGGGCCAGTTGTTGACGAAATATGTGTTTTCATTTTCGTTTGCTTTTTGTTTCTTCTTTTTGCTGACTCATGTTTGTGGAGTAAAAAGACAGCTAGCCTTGATAAAGCAAGACTAT